GTTGGGGGACTTGCATTTCGTATGAAAGTGCATGAAGAAGAGATTCGTAGCCGTTTTGCTTTTATACGACGTTCAGGTTGACGCAGTCCACGAGACCTCCCTCGTTTCGGATGAAGACGGGCTGAGCTTTCATCCATCATATGATGGGCATCATCAGAGCTTGGTATCATTCCTGTAAAAGTCTCATGTTAACACTAGGGCAAAGGGAATATCCGGCTCTATCTTTCCTCTTATATAGACTCAATTAAGCCAACAGAAAATCATGCACCTTCATACGAAATGAAATTCCTCCAGCTAAATCTGTATTATATTCCATTCCTTTGCTTGCAATTTTTTTTTTTGACTTTTACTTATGCCATTTGCATTTTTTATTTTGTCTAATGGGTTCTTTTATTTCATCTTTAAATTTAGGTATCCGTCTTTTCCTCGGACCTGATCTTGACCGGGCTCGCAATCTGGCTAAAGCCTTCATCGCTAAGCTGTCAGAGTTGATTGATTGGTTTGAAACACAAACTCAATTCGCCTTCTACGCCACTTCTCTGATTCTGGCCTATGACGCCATACCAACACCATTATTTTCCAGCCCAGCTGTTTCTACTACTACTTCCTTTCCAACAACAATCAGCCTTAATCAGCTTTCTAGAGATCCTTTGTCAGAAGAAGGAACAACTTCTAGGTTGTTAGTAGGTGACACAGGTTTGCCTTTCTCACATATGCCCAGTGCAGACAAGTCGAATAAGAACGACGATATTACGTTAAGCCATAGCCATCGAGACAAGCATAAGGACTTCCATGTCTCTCCAATCACCACTAATAACTCACATATGGTATCTAAATCTCACTTGGTATCGAGTCGTGAGAATGTTGTTCTGCGTTGGGTCGACTTCACACACTGGAATCAAGCCACGTGTCAGCGTGATGAAAATTTTTTAAGTGGGCTATATTCTCTGAAGCACTATTTCGAGAGAGCTGCTCAGGAGACCTTCCCTTTGGCTACTGAGGCCTTTAATCTCGACTCAGTGCGCAGACAACTGCCTAAGTGATAAGGGCATCTACCAGGCAATACTTGCCTGGTTATGATTAGCCTATATCGTTTCTTTTCTCTCTTATTATCGACTTCTATTCAATCCTAGCCTGCTGGCTAGTTTTTCCTCTTTATTTAAGCTATTCTTTCTAAGTATTTAATCATACTTGTTTCTGCTTAGCAATTTTTTTCCGTATATCCAAAGATCTGCATGGGCTTAGCTCGTCAATTTCGGTTAACTTTTTATACGCTCACATTAATCATCTACCTCATCGGAATTACCTCCATATTTTTTTCTTATTCCTTCAAAGATTCCCTTTTCACTATTATTCGCCTTTATTTCGCTTGAGCTCTTCAAACTTTTGCTAAACTAGGTTTCTTTTTATATTTACTTTACCGTCAGCGAAAACAGTTTTGGTGAATAAGTGGTAATTATTTTTGCGTATTATTGAATTTATTTCGTTTCGTTAAAACTTATTTGGATTTTATTTAGACTTTTTTCATGCGAGTATGTTTCTTTACATTGCTCTATCCTGCCTGGATATGCTGTTACGACTACTATCTGCTCACATGTACATGCCAAATGGAAT